ACGAAGAAGGATGTTTATAAAGGAGGTGCAGAAGTATTTTTAAAGGCAGAACAGAGATGTATTAAAAAAGAGACAGAGAGATGATTATAAAGCACTGCGGGAATGATTATAAAGGCAGACAGCAGAGATGTATTATAAAAGCAGACAGCAGAGATGTATTATAAAGGCAGGCAGCAGAGATGTATTATAAAGGCACGCAGCAGAGATGTATTATAAAGGCAGACAGCAGAGATGTATTATAAAGGCAGGCAGCAGAGATGTATTATAAAAGCAGGCAGCAGAGATGTATCATGACTCTCATATCTAAGACGTAGGTATCTTTCAGGGATTATGTGTCATTCCTGATAAAGAGGAACAAGAGACTGAACGACTTAGTAGCTGATCCAGTCCTCAGCAACATTCTCAATGATGTAAGTATCATAATGATGTATCATTAAGATGTCAAGAGTTTTTTTCAAAACACACTTTCATTGAGAGAACGTTTCGCTCTATGTAGAGCTTTGAAAGATAATGAGATAATAAAGCTGTATGTAAAGCAAATCGTTATCTGGATAAAGGCTTTCTTCACCACGTGTGATTTTCTTCAGTATATCCGGCAGTCTGCCAGTTGGAGTCTCCTCACTGGACTCCCTCTGCCAGACTCATCGCAACAATCTTCACTTTATATATAACCTACTTATATTTTCCAAGCTATAACATAAGCGTTGTTAATTTTATTCGATATATAGTGAGTGGTTTGCCTTAATATGCGGCACTCAGAATGGCCGCCTCCAAAATGTAATTCTCTAGTAATGTTAGATGTTTATATGAAGGCAGTAAAGTTCGGCCTAAAAGTCAGATAATGTAATATTGTGGGTTGGACTTATAGGTGGGTGGGAATGGTTGGTTTAGGCCTTGTATAGGCCAGTAGTCCTTCTACAGTGTTCTTACGTTATGTTCTCACAGTCACCTGCTCCAGTAGAAGAGTCAGTGCTGAGCACTCGGTTCGGTGGAGACCTGGAGCAGGAGTCCCCAGTGTGCGCCTCCAAGGAAACACTTATATATCCCAAGAGAGGCAAGACAACAAAGGACGACTGGGTGTTCGTAGTGAACCAGGAGAACGTGCAGCAAGCTCTTAGAGTGGAGAAATGCATCAAGTAAGTGCTGACCTGGGACACAGCTCTGTTTGTTTGGTGGGAATGATATTGAATCTTCTTATGAAAGAGATGGATAAATAAGATAACTTTTGATTACTCCTTCACAATCACCTTAAAATGCACCAACACTCACATACATATCTTCAAAACCTATTTTTTTTTTCGCTATACAACCGAGCTACAAGTAGGACTCAGCCCACGATGCCTCTTTCACCGGCCACATATGTCACTGCGCATGATGCTTCCCTCTTCTCGATGCCTGATGCCCAGGATGATCCACTCCTGATGAATCGTGCTTCTGAAGAGTCTGTCATTTGTCCCAGATGAATCTTGTCAGTCATGATGCGAGAATGACTTGAAGAATGTTGTGTGAGACAAACTTGAAGAATGTTGTGTGAGACAAACTTGAAGAACGTTGTGTGAGACAACTTGAAGAATGTTATGATGAGACAAAACTTGAAGATGTTGTAGTGAGGACAAACTTGAAGAATCGTTTGTGTGAGACAACTTGAAGATGTTGTGTGAGAACAAACTTGAAGAAGTTAGGTGTGAGACAAACTTGAAGAACGTTGTGTGAGACAAACTTGAAGAACGTTGTGTGAGACAAACTTGAAGAATGTTGTGTGAGACAAACTTGAAGAACGTTGTGTGAGACAAACTTGAAGAATGTTGTGTGAGACAAACTTGAAGAATGTTGTGTGAGACAAACTTGAAGAACGTTGTGTGAGACAAACTTGAAGAACGTTGTGGGGAGCAGAGGGGTGAGTTGTATTGGCAGGGGAATGAGTTGTAGGGGCAGGGAAGTGAGTTGTAGGTAAATGGGATTGAGTTGTAGGGGCAGAGGATTGAGTTGTAGGGGCAGGGGATTGAGTTGTAGGGGCAGGGGATTGAGTTGTAGGGGCAGGGGATTGATTTGTAGGGCAGGTGGATTGAGTTGTATGACTGGGGAGTGAAGTTGTATTGGCTGGGGAGTGAGTTGTATGGGCAGGGTGGAGTGAGTTGTGGGGTAGAGAAGTGAGTGTGTCCCCCCACTTTTGTGCAGGGGATTGATATTGCAGGTGGCAGGGGGTAATTGGTTTGCAGGGGCAGGGGATTGAGTTGTCTAAGGGCAGGGGACCCGTGAGTGTATTGGCAGGGGAGTTGAAGTTGTATGAGCAGGAGGAGTGAGTTGTTGGGGCAGGGGATTGCGTTGTACGGGGGAGGGGAGTGAGTCTGTAGGGGCAGGGGAGGTGAGCTGTAGAGGCAAGGGAGTGAGTTGTAGAGGCAGGGAGTAAGTTGTGAGGGGCAGGGGATTGAGTTGAATGGCAAGGATTGAGTTGAAGGGCAAGGGTTGAATTGTATTGGCAGGGGAGTGGTTGTATGGGCAAGGATTGAGTTGTAGGGGAGGGGAGTGAGTTGTAAGGCACGGGGGAGTGAGTTGTAGGGGCGGGGGATTGAGTTTAGGGGCAGAGAGATTGGTTGTAGGGTCAGGGAGGATTGAGTGTAGGGAGCAGGGGGAGTGAGTTGTATGGGCAGGGGATTGAGTTGTAGGGGGCAGGTGGAGTGGAGTCCGTAGGGGATGAGTTGCAGGGGCAGGGGAGTGAGTTGTAAGGGTAGTGGATTGATGTTGTAGGGCAGGGGGTGAGTTTTAGGGTAGGAGATGAGTTGTGGCAGGCGGGGTTGAGTTGTTGGGGCAGAGGGGGTGAGTTGTTGGGGGCAGGAGGATGAGCTGTGGGGCAGGGGAGTGAGTTGTATGGGGCAGGGATTGAGTTGTAGGGGGCAGGGGATTGAGTTAGGGGGTTGAGGATTGAGTTGCAGGGGCACAGGGGAGTGAGTTGCAGGTTAAGGGGAGTGAGTTGTAAGGGCAGGGCAGTGAGTTGTATTAGAGGGGATGACGTTTATGGGCAGGCGTGAGTTGGTAGGGGCAGGGGGGTGAGTTGTAGGCGAATGTGAGTAGAGTTGTATGGGTAGGGGATTGAGTGTAAGGGGCAGGGAATGAGTTGTAAGGGCAGGGGAGTGAGTTGTAGGGGCAGGGGATTGAGTTGTGGGGGCAGGGGATTGAGTTAGTAGTGGCCAAGGGGAGTGAGTTGCAAGGGAAGGGGATTGAGTGTAGGGCAGGGGATTGAGGTTGTAGGCGAAGGAAATTGAGTTGTTGGGGCAGTGGGAGTGAGCTGCCTAGGGGCTAGGGGAAGGAGTTGTAGGGCGGAGAAATTAGTTGTAGGGTAGGGGGTGTGAGTTGTAGGACTGGGAGGTAGTGATTGTAGGGGCAGGAGAATGAGTTGTTGGGTCTCAGGGGAGTGACGTTGTAGGGGCTGGGTGTAAGTGTAGGGGAGGGGTGTGTGAGTGCCAGGGGCAGGGGAGTGAGTTGTAGGGGCAGGGGTTGGTGAGTTGGGGGGGCAAGGGTGTGAGTTGTAGGGGCAAGGGTGTGAGTTGTATGGAAGGGGTGAGTTGGTAGGGTCAAGGGGAGTGAGTTTACGGGCAGGGGTGTTGTGAGTTGCAGGCGGCAGGGGAGTGAGTTGTTGGGGCAGGGGGTCGAGTTGTAGGGGCACATGGGAGTGAGTAGTATGGGGCAGGGGAGTGAGTGGTAGGGGCATGGGGGTGCAGTAGTAGGGGCAGGGGAGTGAGTTGTAGGGGTAGTAAAGGGGGTGAGTAGTAGGAGGGGAGTGAGTTGTAGGGCAGGGTGGTAAGTTCTAGGGCAGGGGGTTGGAGTAGTAGCGGCAAGGGGGTTTGTAGTTCAGGGGTGTTGGTTGTATGGGCATGGGTGAGTAGTAAGGCAGGAGAGTGAGTAGCTTGTATGGGCAGGGAGTGAGTTGTAGGGGTCAGGGGGGTGAGTTGTAGGGGCAAGGGAGTGAGTTGTAGAGGGCAGGGGCGGTGAAATGTAGGGGCATGGGGATAGTGAAGCGTTGGGGCAGGGGAGTGAGTTGGAGGGGAGGGGGTGAGTTGTAGGGGCAGGGGTGCGTGAGTTGTAGGGGCAGGGGGGTGAGTTGTAGGGGCCGGGGGGCCCGGGGGGTGAATTGCAGGGCAGGGTGAGTGAGTTGTAGGGCAGGGGATCTGAGTTGTATGGATTGGGGAAAGTGTGTTGTTTGGGAGGGGAGTGAGTTGTTATGGTCTGGGGATGTGAGTTTTGTAGGGGCATGGAGTGAGTTGTATAGCGGATGGAGTGAGTTGGAGGGGGCAGGGGATTGAGTTGTAGGGGCAGGGGAGTGAGTTTGTATGGGACGGGGGATCGGTTTGTAGGGGCAGGTAGGGGTGGTGTATGAGGGCAAAGGAGTGGTTGTAGGGAGCAGTGGGTGAGTTGTATTGGCAGGGAGTCGTGTTGTATGGGCAGGAGATGAGTTGTAGGAGTCAGGGATTGAGTCTGTAACAATCAGGGTGTGAGTTGTTGTAGGGGCAGGGGATTGTGTTGTAGGGGCAGGGGAGTAAGTTGTAGAGGTATGGGATGTGATGTGTAGGGGAAGGGGAGTAGTTGTAAAGACAGGGATTGAGCTTATAGGGGCAGGAGAATGAGTTGTAGGGGTCAGGGGTGTTGGTTGTTAGGGGCAGGGGAGTGAGTTGTAAGGTGCAGTGGAGTGAGTTGTAGGGTGCAGGGGGGTGAGTTGTGAGGCGGTAATGAGGTGTGGGTGCAAGGAGAATGAGTTGTAGGGTCAAAGGAGTGAGTTGTTAGGGGCAGAGGGAGTAGTTGTAAGGGCAGGGGATTGAGTTGTTGGGCAGGAGAATGAGTTGTGCAGTCAAGGAGTGAGTTGTAGGGGCAGTGGGAGTGGTTGTAGGGAGGGGATTGAGTTGTAGGGAAGGGCAGGAGAATGAGTATGTAGGGTCAGGGGAGTGAGTTGTAGAGGGCAGGGGAAGTGAGTTATAAGGGAGTGAGTTGTACGGGGAGGGGATTTGAGTTGTATGGGCAGGGTGATTGAGTGTAGGGTCAGGGGATTGAGTTGTAGGGGAAGGGGAGTGAGATGTTAGGGGAGTGAGTTTGTTGTAGGGGCAGGGGAGTGAGTTTGTAAGTGCTAGGGGATTGAGTTGTAGGGGCCAGAGGGGTGAGTTGTAGGGGCAAAGAGGGGTGAAGTTTTAGGGTAGGGGAGTGAGTTGTAGGGCAGACGGGGGTGAGTTGTTAGGGCAGGAGGATGGATGTAGGAGGCAGGGGATTGTGTTGTAGGGGGCAGGGATTGAGTTTATGGGGTTGAGGATGAGTATGCAGGGGCAGGGGGAGTGAGTTGCAGGGTTCAGGGGAGTGAGTTATGGGCAGGGTTGTGAGTTGTATTAGCAGGGGAGTGAGTTGTGTATGCGCAGGGGGTGAGTTGTGGGGCAGGGGGTGAGTTGTAGGGGCATGGGGTGAGTTGTATGGAGTAGGGATTGAGTTGTAGGGGCAGGGAATTGAGTTGTAAGGGCAGGGGGAGTGAGTTGTAGGGGCAGGGGATTGAGTAGTAGTGGGCGGGATTGAGTTGAGTGGCAGGGGAGCTGAGGGTTGTAAGGGAAGGGGATTGAGTTGTAGGGACAGGAAATGAGTTGTAAGGGCAGGGTAGTGAAGCTGTAGGGGAAGGGGGGAGTAAGTATGTAGGGGCAGGGAGAATGAGTTGTAGTGTCAGGGTAAGTGAGTTGTAGGGGAAGGGGAGTGAGTTGTTGGGGCAGGGGTGAGAGTTGCAGGGGCAGGGAACGTGAGGTTGATAGGGGCCGGGGGGTGAGTTTGTAGGGGCTTGGGTAGTGAGTAGTAGGGGCAGGGGAGTGAGTGGTAGGGGACACGGGGGTGAGTTATAGGGGCAGGGAGTGAGTTGTAGGGGCAGTGGGGTGAGTAGTAGAGGGGAGGGAGAGCGGGACGAGTGAGTTGTAGGAGGCAGGGGTGGTTAAGTTCTAGGGGCAGGGGGTTGAGTGTAGCGGCAGGGGAGTTTCGGGCAGGGGATGTGAGTTGTATTGGGCATGGGCTGTGAGTAGTAAGGGCAGGGGAGGTGAGTTGTATGGCAGGGAAGTGAGTTGGTAGGGGACAGGGGTGAGTTGTAGGGGCAAGGGGAGTGCGTTGTAGTGCAGGGGCACGTGATTGTAAGGGGCAGGGGCAGTGAGCAGTAGGGGCAGGGGAGTGAGTTGGAAGGGGCAGGGGTGACACCGTGACCTGCGTGAAACGTTAGCTGAGTGACGCCGTGGACCTGGTGACCCGTGGCTGGTGATTCCGTGGCCCTCGGTGACACCGTGTATGGTAGACACCGTGGAACCTGGTGACATCGTGGCCTGGTGACGCCGTGGGCTGGTGACACTGTGGCTAGGTAACACCGTGGCATGGTGCACCGTGGTCTGTGGACGACCATGGCCTGGTGTCACCGTGGCCTGGTTGATACCGTGCCTGGTGGACACGTGGCCTGGTGACACAGTGGCCTGTGTGACACAGTGGCTTGTGACACCGTGGCCTGGTGACACCGCTACATCGGCCTGGTGACACCGTGGGCCTGTTGACGCCGTGGCATGTGACACCAGGCCACTGTCAAGTGAAGGGACAGTAACGTATCATTCAACTGTTATCTTCCACTCAGTGAAGGACTGTAACTGTATCATTCAAACTTGTTTCTTCACAGTGATGAAGACAGTAACTGTATCATTCAACTTGTTATCTCCAAGTGAAGACTGTAACATTTATCATTTCAACTTGGTAATCTTCCACAGTGAAGACAGTAACTGTATCATTCAACTTGTTATCTTACCAGTGAACGGTTGTAACTGTATCATTAACTTGTTATTCTTCCACAGTGAAGGCAGTAACTGTATCATTATTGTTATCTTCCACAGTGAAGGCAGTAATGTATCATTTCACTTGTTTATCTTGCCCAATGTGGAATGACAGTAACTGTATCATTCAACTTGTATCTCCACAGTGACAGGCTTAACTGTATCATTAACTTGTTTATCTTCCACAGTGAAGACAGTAACTGTATCATTCAACTTGTTATCTTCCACAGTGAAGGCAGTAACTGTATCATTCAACTTGTTATCTTCCATGCAGTGAATCAGTAACTGTATCATTCAACTTGTTTCTTTCCAGACAGTGAAGACAGTAACTGTCTCATTCAACTGTTATCTTCACAGTGAAGGCAGTAACTGTACTCATTCAACTTGTAATCCTTCCACAGTGAAGACAGTACTGTACATTCAACTTGTATTTCCACAGTGAAGGCAGTAACTGTATCATTCAACTTGTTATCTTCCACAGTGAAGACAGTAACTGTATCATTCAACTTGTTATCTTCCACAGTGAAGGCAGTAACTGTATCATTCAACGTGTTATCTTCCACAGTGAAGACAGTAACTGTATCATTCACGTGTTTTTTCCACAGTGAAGACAGTAACTGTATCAATCACTTGTTGTCTTGCACAGTGAAGACAGTAAACTGTATCAAATTCAACTTGTTATCTTCTCACTGTGAGACAGTACTGTATCATTCAACTTGTTATCAACCACAGTGAAGACAGTAAATGTAATCATTCTGCAACGCTGTTATATTCACAGATGAAGACAGTATCTGTATCTATAAGTGGTTATCTTCCACAGTGAAGACAGTAACTGCTATCATTCAACGTGTCTATTTTCACAGTGAAGACGTAAAAAGTATCATCAGCAAACGGGGTTCATCTTCCACAGTGAAGACAGTAAAGTATCATTCAACTGTTGTTTATCTTCACAGTGAAGGCAGTAACTGTATCATTCAGCAACGTGTTATCTTCCACAGTGAAGACAGTAACTGTATCATTCAACTTGTTATCTTCCACAGTGAAGACAGTAACTGTATCATTCAGCAACGTGTTATCTTCCACAGTGAAGACAGTAACTGTATCATTCAACGTGTTATCTTCCACAGTGAAGGCAGTAACTGTATCATTCAGCAACGTGTTATCTTCCACAGTGAAGGACGTAGTAACTGTATCATTCACTTGATATTTCACAGGGGAAGACAGTAAACTGTATCATTTCAACGTGTTATCTTCCACAGTGAAGGCAGTAACTGTATCATTCAACGTGTTATCTTCCACAGTGAAGGCAGTAACTGTATCATTCAACTTGTTATCTTCCACAGTGAAGGCAGTAGCTGCAACTTTGGAATGCCACTACCGGGGAATGCAAGAGCAGTGTGTCGCCAGAAGTACGTGTACCGGAGAATGCTGACTGTAGCCAGCAACAGCATTGATCCCGAGGAGGTGCTTATGCCCTCCTGCTGTGTTTGTTATGCCAGGTGAGCCCATTATAAGGCTAGTGAGAGGTAGGTATTCAGTAAGTAATCCCAGGTGTGTCAGGTCACCACCATCCTTGACCTTACCTTCAAGGTCTTCACCAGAGTTCGTCATAAGAACATAAGAACGAAGGAACACTGTAGAAGGCCTACTGGCCCATGCGAGGCAGGTCCAAGTCTCCTACCGGCTTAAGCCAATGCACCCAACCTAGTCAGGTCAGGTCACATTGACTTAAGGGAGGAACACGGCAACCGACCTGGTAGCACAAGCTATCAGGTCCAACTCACACCCACCCACATCCACTCATGTATTTATCCAACCTATTTTTAAGTAACAACGTTTGCCTCATATAACTGTTACTATAGGTGTTTGTTCCACTCATCCACAACTCTATTACCAAACCAGTACTTTCCTATATCCTTCCTGGGAGACTGAGAAAATGGTTTTGGCAATGTTTGTATCAGCGGTCGGCAGTAGGCAAGGCTTGTTGCCTCTGTATTAGGTAACAGACTGACTCTTATATTGGTAGAGACATAAGATGTTGCAGGGAGTTAGTTAACTTTGTATTTTGGAGTTATTATTTTTCAATGGCCTTTATTATATTCGAACTATAATTATGGTTATATCCATTTATATTTTGGATATATACTTATTACGTGATGTTCAATGATACAGTAGTGTGTTGGTTATGTCACGTTTAATAAGGCACAGAGTGTGATTTTGGTGGCTAAAGCAACGATATAACTGAAACGACATAAATGTACGACATAACGCAACGATAAAGCAACGACCATAAAGCAACGAACATAGTAATTAGAGGTTTTGTTTTATTAATGCTGACTGTTTTGTGGCCGAGAGTATTAGGTTAAACTATGTTAAACTATGTTATGTTCATGTTAGTCAAGGTGAGTCATGATGTCAAGTTGGTTTTGGGGTAAAAACAAATTATATCATTATTTTTCACAATGTATATTAATATGCAAGGGAAAAATTTCCGGGATTAATTTATATACTTTTTTTGGCCAGTTCTACTTATCTGATCGACAGCTTAAAACCATAACGCTAACGTAAGCTGCAAGATTAGTTATGTTAATAACGCCGTAGAGCTACTCTTGGTTGACGTCGTGAATGTCTCACTTCAGTTGTGCTTCACGTCGTGAATGTCTCACTTCAGTTGTGCTTCACGTCGTGAATGTCTCACTTCAGTTGTGCTTCACGTCGTGAATGTCTCACTTCAGTTGTGCTTCACGTCGTGAATGTCTCACTTCAGTTGTGCTTCACGTCGTGAATGTCTCACTTCAGTTGTGCTTCACGTCGTGAATGTTCACTTCAGTTGGGCTTCAAGTCGTGAAATGTATCACTTAAGTTGTGCTTCACGTCGTGAATGTCTCACTTCAGTTGTGCTTCACGTCGTGAATGTCTCACTTCAGTTGTGCTTCACGTCGTGAATGTCTCACTCAGTTGATGCTTACTGTCGTGAATGTACTCACGTCAGTTGTGCTTCACAGTCGTGAATGTCTCACTTCAGTTGTTGGTTCACGTCGTGAATGTCTCACTTCAGTTGTGCTTCACGTCGTGAATGTCTCACTTCAGTTGTGCTTCACGTCGTGAATGTCTCACTTCAATTGTGCTTCACGTCGTGAATGTCTCACTTCAGTTGTGCTTCACGTCGTGAATGTCTCACTTCAGTTGTGCTTCACGTCGTGAATGTCTATCACCGTCAGTTGTGATTCAGTCGTGATGTCTCACTTCAGTTGGCTTCACGTCGTGAATGTCTCACTTCAGTTGTGCTTCACGTCGTGAATGTCTCACTTCAGTTGTGCTTCACGTTGTGAATGTCTCACTTCAGTTGTGCTTCACGCCATGATTCTCATATCAGCCGTGTCCAGTCATAAGAAACATTTTTCTCTTCACAGGGACCAGACTTTCGACATATCTGCCTTGGTCAGGAAGTAGGTACGGTTATCACCATTCCTCTTTTATATGTATTATGCTAGATTATACCCCTTTATCATGTACTAAAAACAATGCGTTATCACCCTGTGCTATACGTTGTTTATTACTCTTCAAAGAAGTTAGAGTTGTTATTTGTAGTTATCCTTAATCCCGGTTAATCACCCACACCAACACACACCAACACACATAAAACCACTTCTACGGGCTCATGGGTACCCACATTTACACAGAGTGGACCCCTTCCTATATATATATGATATATAATATCGTATATATATATATATATATTATATATATATAAATATATATATTATATATATATATATACTATATATATATATGCAATAGATCACAGTAAACAGGTGATTTCAGATTTATGCAAAACATTATCAAGGAACAATGCAGGAATCCTTGCATTGTTCAAATCTCTAGTAAAGGCATGCAGGGGACGAGATGAAAAGATGTAAGCCTTTCTCCTGAAAGCTGGCTGCCTTGGATCCAAACCGTGTAGCTCATGCTACACGTCAAGGTATTGTCCAGTGTGGGGTGATGGTAAAGCATAGTACTTGTCCTAAGGTGTAGGTTCGAGTCTCACTCAGCCAGAGATCAGTGTTTGTATATATCTATACTTCGTGGGGCTAGTACACAACGTGGATGAATTAGCTTGAAAGCACCCTCACATCGTATGTCCTCGGGCTTCGGGTAAACATTACTTCTACTAAGCGTGCGTGATTTCTTGTAGGATTCTTTTGGTCCCATGGGTTAGTGTGTCGTGAATTTATCGCTTTACTATGAGGCGGACCTAAAACAACACCCGTTCGAATCCTTGGCTAATCGCAGTGTTCTTATTCTGAGAGAGCCGCTGAGTGTTATAGACCCTCACTGACGCTGTTCTGAGAAAATTCCCCTCACTCCTTCCGATGCGCCTGAAAACAAGGCATACTCCTGATGATGCACTGAGAAGTGCGAAAGTACTTGAGCTAAAGATTTCCAACCCTGTGGCTTGTTTCGCATAGGTAGAAGCACCTGTCTCTGCGTTTGTTTGCACACACACCCACACCCAACCCAAACCCCAACACAACCCACACACACACACACACACCACACACATAAACTATATATATATATATATATATATTATATATAATTGTCAATCCAAAAACGAGTAGTTACTGCTCATTAACAATACTGCGACTAGCCGAGGATTTCTCGAATCATGTTGTTTTGGCTACCTCATGGTTGAGTTAAAATCCACCATGGGTGCCTCTAACACATGGGACCAACATGTCCAGCGCCCTTGTGAATACAGCCAGGGGGTCTATTGTGATCACCCTTAGTATGTGGGAGGCAGTTGAACAGTCTTGGGCCCCTGACATTTATTGTGTTGCTGGTCTCAGTGTACCGCCGGGATTGTTGCATCTCTGTGAGTCTTTTGTTTTTACAGGGGTGTTTTCATAGTGTGGATTTGGACTAGTCCTTGGATTTTCCATGTGTATATTAACATGTATCTTGCTCTTGCATTTAGTGAGTACAGTAATGAGGCGTGTTTTATCTCCGTTATGCGCGCCGTGAAGTTCTCTGTACATTTTCTAGGTCAGCAATTTCACCTGCCTTGAAAGGTGCTGTTAGTGTGCAGCAATATTCCAGCCTAGATAGAACAAGCGACCTGAAGAGTGTCATCATGGGTTTAACATCCCTAGTTTTGGATAAATTCATTATCCATTCCTGTCATTTTTCTAGCCCAATTGATGTGATTGATACAATGTTGTGATCTTTGAAGGTGAGATCCTCTGGCATTATCACTCCCAGGTCTTTTACATTAGTTTTAATTTCCTTACGTTTTCCATATCGGAGTAATTGAAATTTCTCATCATTGAACTTCATATTGTTTTCTGCGGCTCATTTAAAAATTTGGTTGATGTCCGCCTGAAGTCTTACAGTGTCTTCAGTTGAGGACGCTGTCTTGCAAATTCGGGTGTCATCTGCGAAGGGCAGATTGGTGCTGTGGCTTACATTCTGTCTGTCAGATGCGAGGAGAGGAGCAGGTATGGGAGCAAGTTACTGTGCTTGAGGAACAGCTGCCTCAGACTGTTAATCTGTTTACTACTATCTTTGTGTTCTATTATGTTAGGAGATTATTAGCATCCATCTACAAACTTTTTCTGTTAATTATCGCGGCATTGTGTGCGCTATTACACCATAGTCAACACTTGGAAAAGGCTTTTGAAAAAGTCTGGTATACATCTGATATACAGTATATATATATATATATATATATATATATAGATCAATTATATATATATATAATATATTATATATATATATATATATATTATATTATTAATGATATTGTACTAGTACCACCAAGCAGGGAGTAGAACGAAATTAGCCTAGGAGTCAATCAACAACCTGTATGTCATTGGGTAGCGAGTAAACTATTCAGTTCTGCTGGATGCGCTAATATTAAAGGATTGTGTGGTCCCGGGGATTAGCTGTCACGGAATTTTCGCCCACGATGAAGTCGGCCAAAACTAGCATGGAGTTTGGCCGTTTTCCACGAGGCAGGGCTGACCCAAAAAAAGAAAAAAAAATCTTTCATATTCGTCTCAACACTTTAAACATCACTCGTACATAATCACTTGTCTTTGCAGAGGCGCTAGAATACGACAGTTTAGATATCACTCAAACAACCATATACTAAATTCCCTCATTTCAAGCGCAGGCATTGTTACTTCCACCTCTAGGACTCAAGTCCGCGCTAACGGTCCCCTGAAGCCCTTCAACAAAATGTTATCCTGCTCAACTCCAGCTGAACAACTGCAAAAGGCTTAAAAATGAAACTCAAGTCTTTAGGGGATAAACAGAATTTGGTCTCGGCTTCTGTACTGTCGTCTGATTTGAAAGGGGATGTGCATTGTTTGCAAGAGTTATGTGGTAGGTAGGGGAGTGGAAATTCTTCAGAGGTAGCACTGTAGTGTGTAGAGGCAGTCATACCGATCTCCAACTTGTCACGAGTTGTGACAGCTCTACTGGAGTCATTACTTTGTAACTTGTCATGATTGTGACCAGAGATAGTTAATACTTTGTAATTGTCATGTTGTGACCCGTCCCTTACCTGGAGTTCATTATCTTTGAAATTGTGAGGTCCATTTCTTTGTAATTGTAAGAGTCATTACTCTGTAACTTGTCAGCTATCAAAATTTTGGAAAAGTCCAGTCCCTGGCAACAATTATGTACCTTGTAAATCTTTTGCTAGCGCCCACAGGATGGGTTATTTGGTGTGACTACCACCCAAGGATGCGGTATGGTGTAAACTACCGCCCACTGGATGGGTTTGCGTGTTGACTACCGACCCACAGGATTCGATATGGACGTGATACCACCCACAGGATGGGTATGGTGGACTACTAACCACAGGAACAGAGATGGGTTGGTTGTGACTACCCCACTGGATTGGTATGGACGTGATCCACCCACTGGATGGGTATGTGTGACTACCAACCCAACAGATGGGTATGGTGTGACTACCACCACGAGGATGGGTATGGTGTGACTACCAACCAAGGATGGGTATGGGCTTTCCATAATAAACATATTAAACTAACTTAAGCTAACCGGTCTCTAGAATACCCCGCGGGAGTACGGGTGGGCACTCATATCAGATGTCCAGCACCATTAAAAGCAGAACTCCAAACGTGATGGAAAATTGAAAATATTATTCAGTGTAAGTATTCACGTGGTCTAATGAAAAATTATTACACTAGGCAGTTTTGTAATAACGTTTGAAGGGGGGAGATATATGACTTGTTGCCAACCTGCTGTGTACACTTAGATTGTAGAATGATCAATATATATATTACTCACTCTCACCTAGTCCAGTAGTTACTGGACTGTGTAATAGCATTTCAGGTTACCGGAGGCTCGGTTAGTAGGCACGAGATCAGCTCACCCCTAAGGTCCGCTGGTTCTGATCCCGGGTTACTGGTGAGAACATTACGACGTGTTTCATTAAGACAGCTGCTGTCCCTTTTCCCCTAACACTAAATAGGTACCTGGGAGCTTTCTGTATAGTAGTATGTCACTGATGTCACCTGTCTAAGTTGCTTTATGTACTTGTAGAAATAAAGATTATTATTATTTTTAATTTCCCATGCTGATTAGGGCAATGGGGAAAAACGAATCTCAATAAATAGATGACGAAACGTCTAAGTTAAGAGCTAAATGGTATAACCGGATGTATTTCCAGGTGATATCTAAAGTTCGGAGTTCCTACCTGCAACATTGTTAAAATTACCGTAGCTCTCCTGACAATATTAAAGTCCTCAATTTAATGGGTTAAGAAAGAAAACGTGTGTTACTGAAAATGTACAACCTTATGGGTAGACTCCTCCAACTGATGTGGGGTGAGTAGCAGTGTTCTTGGAATGTATTTGTCATTCCCATACATGATCTCTAAGGTAAATTCCATTATGGTTACTATGAGTTAAACATGCCAAGGCCAGGCAGGGCGACAGGCGTAACATGGGAACTGTCCAAAAATAATCATTGTAAAAACTGACGTGAGTAACGTGGACATGCGAATGATCATAATACGGCCATACTTAAATTCCAAGAGTGCCCCACCATGGCTGCTGCTATCTTGATATAGTGGAATATAGTTTGTTGATAACGAGCAAAACATGTTCAGGCTGGGGAGATCCTGGTGTAATGCATATCTGGCATAAACTACCAGTTATTGAGGGGATAATGTTGCGTAATGAATTATTTTGTGATCACCACAAGACGACAATACTCAACTAGTAAGGGGCAAGTTTATATAAACCCTTTTGACACCTGTTGTACAAAGCATGACTTCATGTTTTTATAAGATCTTTCCGTTATGTTTCTATCCACAAATGGAACTATAATGGACATGGACTGGGACACATGTCAAGTTTGGCAGATGACTGGAAGGTCTAACGTGTTAAAAAATCACATTGGACTTCTGTGTTGTCCTAAGT